TAACTGAGAGCTCCTAAAAATCAAACACTTATGCCCATCAAAAGACTACACCAAAAGAGTCAAAAGAAAACCTACAGACTGGGAAAAAAAATTTGGCTATGACAAATCCGATCAGTGTCTATTCTCTAAAATCAACAAGATACCGCACAACCTCAACAACAAGAAAACAACCCAGTTAAAAAATGGGCAAAGGACATGAACAGGCGCTTTGGCAAAGAAGATATTCAGGCAGCTAACAGACACATGAAGAAATGCTCACAGTCATTAGCCATTAGAGGAATGCAGATCAAAACTATAACAAGATATCATCTCACCCTAACAAGGCTAGCACTAATCCAAAAAACACAAAATAATAAATGCTGGAGAGGCTGTTGAGAGACTGGAACTCTTATACACTGTTGATGGGAGGGTAAAATAGTACAACCAATTGTACAACAATCAATTTGGTGCTTCCTTAAAAAGCTAGAAATAGAAGTACCGTACGATCCAGGCATCCCACTCCTTCGAATATATCCTAGAGAAATAAGAGCCATCACACTAATAGATATGTGCACACCCATGTTCATTGCAGCACTGTTCACAATAGCAAAAAGATGGAAACAACCTAGATGCCCATCAACAGACCAATAGATATCAATAGATAAATTATGGTATATCCACACAATGGAATACTACGCAATGATAAAGAACGATGAAGCCGTGAAACATAACATGGAGGAAGCTGGAACTCATTATGCTGAGTGAATTTAGTCAGTCACAAAAAGACAAATATTGTATAAGACCACTATTATAAGAACCCAAGGAAAGGTTTAAATGCAGAAGAAAACATTCTTTGATGGTTATGAGGGTGGGGAGGGAGGGTGAGGGTTATTTACTAACTAGATAGTAGATAAGAATTATCTTAGGGGAAGGGAAGGACAGCACACACTACAGGGGAAGTCAGCACAACTGGACTAAACCACAGCTAAGAAGTTTCTGAATACAATCAAACACTTTGAGAGAGTAGCAGGGGTAGGGATCTGGGGACCATGCTTTCAAGGGACGTCTAGGGCAATTGGCATAACAAACCTTATTAAGAAAATGTTCTGCATCCTACTTTGGTGAGTGGCATCTGGGGTCCTAAAAGCTTGCAAGTGGCCATCTAAGATGCATCAATTAGTCCCAATCACCTGGAGTAAAGGGGAATGAACAACACCAAAGACTCAAGGAAAGTATTAGCCCAAGAGACAGAAAGGGCCATGTAAACTAGAGACTTCATCGGCCTGAGACCAGAATAACTAGATGGTGCCTGGCTACCACCAATGACTGCCCTGACAAGGAACACAACAGAGAGTCCTGATGGAGCATGAGAAGAGTGGGGTGCAGAACTCAAATTCTAGTAAGAAGACCAGACTTAATGGTGTGACTGAGACTGGAGGAACCCCGGAAAGCATGGCCCCTGGATTCTCTTATCAGCCCAGAACTAAAACAATCTCCAAGGCCAAGTCTTCAGACAGGGATTGGACTGGACTGTGGAACATAAGGTGATACTTGTGAGGAGTGTGTCTCTTAGCTCAAGTAGATACAAAAGACTAAATGGGCAGCTTCTGTCCAGAGGTGAGATGGGAAGGCAGTCATTAGCCATTAGAGAAATGCAGATCAAAACTATAACGAGATATCATCTCACCCTAACAAGGCTGGTTGAATGGACATGGGGAATCAGGTGGAAAGGAGGAGTGTGCTGTCACAGTATGGGGAGAGCAATTAGGGTCACATAACAATGTATGTATAAATTTTTGTATAGAAGACTAACTTGAAATGTAAACTTCATTTAAACTACAACCATAAAAAATTTTTTTTAAAAAAAGAGCAGAAATCTAAACCCAAAGCAAGCAGAAGAAAGGAAATAATAAGGATTAACCATCTGTGCCACCGACATCATCGTATGAAAATACCACCTTTTATTTATCCATTAATCCTTGACGAATTATTTGGATTATTTACACTATTTGACTATTATGAATAATGCTAGTATAAACATTTGTGAACAAAAAAAAGATACAATTTTGTGAAAATCTTGTCACATTCTATACTTGTCATGTAGCTCAACAGTCCCCACATCAAGCTCCTATCAGAATCACCCAGTGAGGTTTTTAGAATAATCATGCTTATTTTGGAGAAATGCTGATTTAGTTCTGGGGCAGGGAAATAACTAGGTGAGCCTGAGACGTTACTGTGCCAGAAAGCAAGAAACCTTGTTCTCCAAAACTAATGGAGTAAAACAGTTACTATTTATGCATGTTCATAGCAGCATTATTCACAATAGCCAAAACATGAAAACAACCCATAGATCCAGGAACAGATGAGTGGATAAACAAAATGTGGTATATCCACAGTGGGATATTATTCACTCATAAAAAGAAATGAGTACTGTTACATGCTACAACTTGGATGAACCTCAAAAACATGATAATTGAAAGAAACCAGTCACAAAAGTCCGCCTATTATATAGTTTCACTCATATTAAAGTCCAAAACAGGGAAATCTATAGAGACAGAAAGTAGATTGCTTAGGGCTGAGGGGTGGGGAGGAGTAGAAGGGGGGGTAGCTAAAGGGTACAGAGTTTCATTTTGAGGTGATGAAAATGTTCTAAAATTGACTGTGGTGATGGTTACACTTATCTGTGAATATACTAAAAACTACTGGAATTGTACTTTAATTGGGTGAATTGTATCTCAGTAATGCTGTTAAAAAGCAAAAGGGAATGTTCTAGATTAAAAGAGACAACCAAATGGAATGCATGGCCCTTGACTGGATTCTAGATTGAAAAAAAAAAGTTTTAAAAGACATTTTTGAGAGAGGGGAAATGTATAAGGACTCTATCTCATGTGATATGAGATTATGAAATATCATAGGGAACGATAGTGGTGTTGTGATTATGTAGGAGAACATCCTTATTTTCAGGTAGTATGTGCTGAGTATTTCAATATGAAATGCCATGGCGTCTGCGTCTTCCTTCAACTGGTTCAGCTAAAAAATAAAAGCAAGGGAGGGAGAGACAGAGGCAAGAAGAGGAAAAGGAAATGTGGCAGAGTTACTAACTGTTTGTTGAAGAGTCTAGGTAAAGGATGTATTTATTATATTTTCTTTCAGTTTTTCTGTAGACTTGAAATTTTTTTTAAATAAAAAGCTGGGAAATCATTTAAAAAGTAAAAATAATGATGCTTATACCCCACTGTGGACCTAGGGAATCAGAATCCTCAAGGGTAGGGCCAGGGAATCTATTTTTAAAAGCACTTGAAGTGAGTCCAGATATTTTCATATGATGATGTCGGTGGCACAGATGGTTAATCCTTATTATTTCCTTTCTTCTGCTTGCTTTGGGTTTAGATTTCTCCTCTTTTTTAAAAAAAAAAAAAATTTTATGGTTGTAGTTTAAATGAAGTTTACATTGTAAGTTAGTCTTCTATACAAAAATTTATACATACATTGTTATGTGACCCTAATTGCTCTCCCCATACTACGACAGCACACTCTTCCTTTCCACCCCTGATTCTCCATGTCCATTCAACCAGCTCCTAACCTTCTCTGCCTTCCCATCTCACCTCTGGACAGTCATTCAATCCAGTGACTGTCATTTGGGACTCCTGGCTAATAGATAACTTGCCTCCATATGTGATACAATGTCCTTTATATCATGCACTCAGTCTTGGAAACCCTGGAGTCACCCTGTTTGTATTCCTTCACCTCCCCAACCTCCCCACTGCCATCAAAAGAGTCGCCACTCACGTCCTGTTGATTCTAGTTCTAGCTCCCAAAAACTTCTTGAATCCATCCCGTTCTTTTCATCCCCACTGTTAACTACCATAGCCCATGCCATCACGTCTTATTCAGACTCTTGGAACAGCATCGTAATTATTCCCCCCACCTCCAGGCTCTCCCCTTTCCCAGCCATCCTCCAAGCCACTTGAGTTCCCTTCTCAAACCTGTCACACCACTCATCTCCAATAAGTTACTGCTGCCCAAAGGATAAAATCCAGAAGTCTTAATATGTGATACAAGACTCCACAAGGCTCTCACCTGCCTTACAGCTTCATCACTACTTCTGTCCCATCCTCACGTTTATTTAACATACATAGCAATATGCCTTTGCATATATTGTTTCTTTCTCCTTCTTCTCTGCCTGGAAAACTCCTCATTCTTTAATGTTATTATTATATGTCCATTCTCCTGTGAAGTTTCCATTCTTCCCCCACCACCTTCCAAGTGTAGGTTGAAAGCTTCAGCATAACCTGTGACTGTGTCCTGGATCAGTCTAGACAATAGGGCTGAGAGTTGTACTAACCCAACAATACAGTGCAAGGGTGCTTCACTAAACCCACTGTCTTCCTGCAGGTAAATTCTTTTTTTTTTTTTTTTTGTTTTTGTGAGCTTAATAATTTTAACTGCTGATATATATCTTTGTAGCAATGAATGAGGTGGGATGGTAGCAAATAATAGAAACCAGAAACTACTCCTGCCAATTGCAGAGCCTAGTTCTTGGTGTATTCTTAGCTCTTGAGCCACAACTTGTCCCTTCTTCCCTTACTGTACTTCTCTTTTGGATTTCCTCAAAGCTCATAAAGGAGAGATGCTCTGAAGTATACTCCTTTGAATGAAATAATTGTTAAATGATACTCTGTCCAGTTATCACTGTGCTGTTGAACACTCCTAACCAGCCGAAGCAGCTATATAGAGTTGGGATCACAAAGATCTCATTGCCTGAATGCTAGAGGAACTGGGGATGAAGCTGAGACAATAGGGCAATAAGATTTCACTGGATATTCCTACTAGACCTCAACCCTTGTTTCTAAGAAGAAACTTCACTGACCTAAATATATTCTATTTTCAGAATCATTGATTTGCCCCAAAATTGACATGAAAGCTGTCAACTGTAAAGCTGTTTTGCTAGGCCAACTTTTATGCCCATTCATCTAATTTTCATACCTTCAAATCTGCCTACAAAATACAAAAATCCATACCTTTTTAAATGAAAAATAATTATTTTTGGTGCTTTGGAAATACTGGCCCTCACAGCTGTTTCTTGCTTGGTTCCACAAAAGGAGCAATGAATTTGATTATTCCAGGTCAATGTGTCTTGTTGAAAAAAACACTGGAGGCAGTCCTATTGAGAAGAAAAGCATTTGGTGACCAAATTGGATCATCTGGAACCTGTGGTCGCTGCTTATATCAGAATTTTGGAACAGCCACAAATGTATAATCCTCAAAGTTTTTCTCAAAGTCAATTCCAGGAGATAGCAGGGTCACAAACAGCAGCCTAGAGAACCAGCTAGAAAGTCTACCTGGCAAAGGAGATGTTTCCTTCTTATTTAGTTACTGAAATGGATCCAAGTGCCATCTCGTTTATAATCTCTGAATCAGCATTTTAAAGTTTCTGGTTGATTTCGGGATAATATTGACTTTGCAATTTCCACTAACCAAACCAGGCAGCTGTTTTATGTTATTCATCTCATTACTAAAGTGATCTGGTGATTGAAAAATGGTCATATCTCAGCCTTTTGGGTTGGCCTATAATAAAGACAGCAGGAGAGAGAGAAATTAGACCCCAGGTCCGCAGGAGACATCCTAAATGTGGCCAGGTCCCGAGCTCTGCAAACCATTAACCTGAAGGCAAAGATAGCAAAGATCATGCCAGCACATCACTTTAAAGGGTCTTTGAAATTCCTTTCAGGCAATCTTTAGTGGAGCTGAGAACAGAGCCCAGTCCTCATAAGTGGTGGGATTCTATTCTCCAATTCTGGTATTTGGAAATAAATCCATTGCCGTTGAGTCAATTCCTTGTGAAAAGGCTATGTGAAAACTTTTATCAGTAGACGTTCTTTCATAAATTAGGAAGAAAATATATAAATTTGTGTTATTCTGCCAGTGAACGTATTGCTTCCTGTCTCGTCACTGCTCTGCCTCCCACTGCCATCCTCCCTACCCCCTTACAGATTAACTGTCGGCATCAATTGGAAGAAAAATGGAGAGGTACACCAAGGCACTGGGTTCCCCTCTCCCTTTCCAGCACATCTCACAGCTTTAGTCTAAAATGTAAGAGGCTCAAGACCCAAAGTCAAAATCTTTCATATCTAGTCCTGATTTGGGGCTACAGACCTCCGGGGTGAGAGAGGACTACACATTTTTTGTAAGAAATGATAAAGTCCTATATATGCACCAAGCCATCTCAAGGACTGCATAAATCCTACCTACATTTCCAGCTTTACAAAGAGGCTGTTTTGTTGAGTACATTTAAAAAGTAACTTTTGGCCGGTATGTTACTTTTCAGAGTGAGCCCTGGCGGCACAGTGGTTAAGTGCTCATCTGCTAACCAAAAGGTTGATGGTTCGAACCCACCAGCTGCTCCTTGGGAGAAAGATGTGGCAGTCTGCTTCCATAAAGATTTACAGTCTTGGAAACCCTATGGGGCAGTTCTCTTCAGTCCTATAGGGTTGCTATGAGTCAGGATCGACTCGATGGCAATGCGTCCGGCAGGTCGCTTTTGAATCAAATGCTATCATCATGGGCTTCCAACTTTTTTTTTTCTTTTAGATATAAAGAAGCCCCCTCATACTAAAAAAATGTAGGAAATAGCCCTGAGAAAATCCAGGGCTGGGGGTAGAACAAGACAAAAAAAGTATCGAGGAGTATGGAATCCTACCTGAAGAGAGCATTGATACTCTGATGGAATGGGGAGGGAGAGGACAGTGAAGACTTCATTCTTGTAGGTGCAGTTCTCACACTGTAGACAGATGATACGGTAACTGAGCTGCCCTTCAAACAGGCGCGTGATGATGGACGACTCCTTGGCAGTCACCTTCCTGCAGCATCTTTGAGGAGATCCTTTTTCATATGATCTTCGGTGATACTGAATCAAGGGACAGATTCCCCCAGCCCCCCAAAATGAACTCTTGATTATTTAAAAAAAAAAAAATTTAACAGAATGATTGATTTTTTTCTACCAGAATGATACATTGCTATCAGAAACAACTTAGTTTAGGATTCAGACAATAAATAGAGTTGGATTTCTGAAGAGGATGCATTTTGTAGTTCCTGGTAACTCAGATATATCCCCCTTTAAGTGAAGCTGAAGAATGATGGCACCCTGACTCTGACAGCCCCTGAGCCGAGCTGTAAATACCATTCAATGTCCTGCAGCCAGCTTTCCCTGGGAAGAGGGTAAGCTGCTGAACCACAGTCTGACTTGGGGGTAAAATAAAGGAACTTGGTCTTTCCTCTGGCCCCTTCAGGTTATGTTCTCCGCCTGTTGTTAGAAAACACGTTTTTCAAAAGAGCAAATCTTACCTTCCCAACACAGCCTAATTTAATTAGCCTTGAGGTCTGATTTGCTCATACAGTGTTTCAGGGAGCACACCCTGAATTTTCGTGATTTTTACAGCCTCAGTAGAATATGCATTCTGAAGACTCATTAGCTTCACAGCCAACTATAATTTGGAACTGGACTCTCTGTTCCACGTCTGTTTGCTTCTCTCAACACTCTGCTGCCAAGGTATTCCACCTTGACAGTAATTTAATGCCCCCTTTCCAAGTCGGGCCTAGGAAACCAGAATACTATTTATTTCAGATGGGGTGCAGATGAGGGCTTAAGTGATTTCTACTGATCACCACCCTACCTTCCAGCTAATAAAAAAAAGTACTAACTGCCATGAATATCTTGTTGTTAGTGAAAATGAAAACAGGAATTGAGGCTTGAAAATGAGAATAATTAATGGCTATAGTTTGTGACATCTGTGCTAAGTATTTCCTGGACATTAGACATGAGGTGAGCTAGTGTCAGTACAAGGATGATGCATAAAGGTAAGGCTGTATCTTTTCAGGGTGTTGGTCTTCAACTAATGATGAAGGCAGTGAGTCTTGTAAGGAAAGACAACCCCCCAGAAACTGGGGATCTCTTGCTTTATCAAATGTATGTCCTAATCTAAAGTTGAGCTCAAGTTAGGCAAGTTTGGTACGAAGAAACTTTGCAGTGTATAGGTCTCCCCCTTAGCTAATACGAAGCTTAATATTTTCATGGGTTTGTAGGTTCTCAGAAAGTCTATTTCAAGTTGTAAATTTCTCATGAGGAATATATTTTTATATTTTTAAAGAAGTGACTTCCACTGTAAAAAAAATAGTCCATGCAGTTTTTATTTGCAGAGAACTAGATTAGTGGTGGAGCCCCTGGGTGTGCAAACAGTTAATATGCTTGGCTGCTAACCAAAAGGTTGGATGTTCGAATCCACCCAGAGGTGCTTTGGAGGAAACCCTTGGTGATGTACTTCTGAAAAAGCAGCCGTTGAAAACCCTGTGGAGCACATTTCTACTCTGACACACACGGAGTCGCCATGAGTTGGAGTTGGTTAAAGATTAGTGGTTGCCACATCTGGACGGTCCTGGAAATGGCAAGTGAGCTTTTTCCAAAAGACAGTAAGACTGCAGTGAGGGTCTGAGAATCTGAGTTTCAAAAATCTTCCCAAATGATTCTGATGATGAGCTAAGTTTGATAAAACAATGTAACACTAACTTGAATGTTCTATGTAGTACCCCAGCATGTAGCACAGTGCTTGGCACACGGCAGTAAATGTTTACTGAATAAATGAAAAAATGAAAAATGAAAGTAGTTGATAAAGCTGAAGGCCAATCCTATTTCAAGGCCATTTATTCCACTTACTTTTTTCAGAGCTTCATGAAGTTCATTCAGGACATAAATCAAGAATTCCTGCGCATCTTGCTGTGTCTTTTTCATAAATGCTGGGTAGAGGTTTCCAAGGGCTGACCGAAATATTTCTGGTGAGACACAGTCTGAGTCTCCAAGCCACATGTCTGTCATCAGGTAGGCAAAAGCAGTGGCAACCTCACCGCAACTCCTTGGAAGAAGGAAAGGACATGTTTTTGGCTGATTTAGTGAAAAGAAAGCACCTAAAAACTTGAGCATGGGGCATCAAACCAAAAATGGAGTTCCATTCATTTCTTGGCAGACCTTTCTGCGTTACTCACCCTGGATGCATTATTTGGGTAGCTACAGCCTTTACTGACTTGTTCAGCCCTTGAGAGGGACACAAGATGGTTCCTTCCCTAACTTCACCTAGAGGAGCTGGGGTTGGGACTGGGCTATAGGGAACACAAGCCATCTTACTTTTGAAGAGCAGTAATGTACTTTCCAGAGAGAAAGTATTCCACCAGCGGCGAGATGCTGCAGAGACTCTGCAAGATGGCATTCATGTAGCATGTGTTCCCCAAGTTTCGCAGACCGGTCACACCTTGGAAATGGGGCTGGTTCTCATCAGCCTCACTAACTGGGATGGTGTCATAGTAATCTGTACATTCTGCGCTGTGGTGTTGCCTTGTAGAAAGAAAGGAAGGCATTTTGAGGGAACAAAATGTGTACAAATGAAAATAAGCATCTCAGCCTTAGGAAACAAAGAAAAGTTCTTAATAAGACGTCCCTCAAACACATTCTCTACCAGGGACATAGTATTCTGACCTGGAGTCTAAACTTGCATTATTTTTTCTTAAACTCTTTGAACAAGTGCCTGCAGCCAAGCAAGTCAGAGATAAAAGTTTCTTCCTAAAACCAAAGCAAGAGGACAGAAAATATCTGCCTTTCAGAGTCCTAGAATTGCTGGGCTAAAAATGCAAACATCCCCACTACAGTTAGGTTATGAGGCTTAGATTCAAACGCAAACGTTCCCACTATAGTTAGGTTGTGAGGATTAGATTAAAATGCAAACGTTCCCACTATAGTTAGGCTGTGAGGCTTAGATTAAAATGCAAATGTTCCCACTATAGTTAGGTTGTGAGGCTTAGATTAAAATGCAAACGTTCCCACTATAGTTAGGTTGTAAGGTTTACATTAAATAAGGCAATGTTTCCTTTTTTGCTGGGCAAGTAAATTCATTGCTAGTAGTAACAACAATAACAATAGCTAGTAGTTAATTGTAACAAAAAAAAAAAAAAGGAAACCCTGGTGGCATAGTGGTTAAGTGCTACGACCATTTTTATTGTACAATAGCTATCATTTATTGAGCCTGGCATTTTATTAAGTGTTTAACATGCATTTTCCCATTTACTACTTACAACAACTCTATGGGGTAGGTACAATTATTTTTAAGTTTAAATCCCATCTTACAGATGAGGTATCATATTTAAATGGTTTAGTCATTTGCCCCTGCTAACATACTAAAGGGTGTATAGTGGTATGTAAAAAGAGGGAATATCTATCAGTCGGTCTATCTATCTACGGCCTTTAAGTCGAATTTGTAAGTCAGTAACAGGTGCATATGATTCTTATTTAGCCTTACTTTAGCATAAGGAAAGGCTTGAAGGCTTTTCAATGATTTAAAAGCTGCACAAGCAGCAAGTGAAGGTGATTGTGATGAAGAATTTGTTGCAAGTAGGGGTTGGTTCAATGTTTCAAAGCAGGGCTTTGAACCGATTTGGTCCAGTTCAACCTCCTGCTGAGAATTTGCATTTCCAACCCAGATATACTGAATCCGAATCTTCATTTTAACAAGATCCCCTGGTGATTCTTATCTTAAATCTTGTTAAGGGGATCTTGTTAAAATGTAGATTTGGATTCAGTATATCTGCAGTGGAAATGCAAATTCTCAGCAGGAGGTCTAACTGGACCAAATGGGTTCAAAGCCCTGTTTCAAAATGAGGGCAAATTCACATAACTTTAAACGGCAAGTACAAGTTGTGTAAAAGTTGGATGTTTGTAACCCGGAGACAGCCTGTAGTATGTATTAAGAGTATCTATCTGCTATTGATTGAATTGTGTCCTCCAAAAAATGTGTGTCAACTTGACTAGGCCATGATTCCCGGTATTGTGTGGTGAGCCACCATTTTTGTCATCTGATGTGATTATCCTATGTGTTATAAATCCTGACCTCTATGATGTTAATGAGGCAGGATTAGAAACAGTTATGTTAATGAGGCAGGACTCAATCTACAGGATTAGGTTGTATCTTTAGTCAGTCTCTTTTGAGATACAAAAGAGAGAATTGAGCAGAGAGGGGAGAGACCTCATTACCACCAAGAAAAAAGCCAGGAGCAGAGCGTATCCTTTGGACCCAGGGTCCCTGAGCTGAGAAGCTCCTAGACCAGGGGAAGATTGATGTTAAGGACTTTCCCCAGAGCTGACAGAGACAGAAAGTCTTCCCCTGGAGCTGACACCCTGAATTTAAACTTCTAGCCTTCTAGACTGTGAGAGAATAAATCTGTTTGTTAAAGCCATCGACTTGTGATATTTATGTTATAGTAGCACTAGATAACTAAGACACTATCTATCTATCTGTCTGTATATCTGTCTATTTATCTAAGCTATTTGAATTTATATACAGGCAGTCCCGTGTTATGAACAAGATCCATTCCTAACTGTGCATTTAAGTAAAAGTTTTAACTCAGTAAGAGGTGCATATGGTTCTTATGTAGACTTACTTTAGTGCAAGAAAAGGCTGAAAGCCTTTTCAGTGATTTAAAAGCTGTAAATGCAGCAAGTGAAAGTGATTGTGATGAATAATTTGTTGGGAGTATATATATACATATATATGTGTGTGTATATATATATATATATATAACATATACATATGTGTGTATATATATATAACATATATACATATTGAGAGCATAATAAAATCCACTGCTGTGGAGTCAATTCTGACTCATAGAGACCCTTTAGCACAGAGTAGAACTGCCTCATGGGGTTTCCAAGGCTGTAAATCTTTACAGAGGCAGACTGCCGTAACTTTCTTCCACGGAGTAGCTGGTGAGTTCGAACTGCTGACCTTTCAGTTAGCAGCCAAGTGCTTAACTACTGCACCACCAGGGCACATATTAAGAGCATATATATGCATTAAGAACACACACACACATAGACAGACAGAAAGAGAAATAGAGAGTAAGAGGATAAATTTAGTAAAAAATACATCTCAGTTTAAATCCTGACTCTGCCACTTACATGCTCTAGGGCTCTTATGCCTGTTTATCATCTATAAGACAGTAATAATACCACCTGCCTTACAGGGTTGTGAGGATTAGATTAAATGATGCAAGGTACCTGGCACAGATTAAATAATTAATAAATGTCCACTTAGAAACATTTGTTTTAAGAGAAGAAACTGATCTAGGGTGTCCTCAACAGTCAGCTCTGTTTGGCCAGGCCAGGCCTGCACAGGGGAGACAGGAGCACAGAGGCTCCAGGGCTCCTCCTGCCTAGGTAAAGAACTTCCTTTTGTCATTCATCATGTTGCGCCAGGCAGCCCAGCAGCTTTGTGCTTTATGATTCTTCTTTCTATGCCTCTAAACGTGAGGCTCCAGGAGACATGTGCCTCACCTCAGCACCTCTGCTTTGTTAGCCAGCTGTCAGAGTGCTCACTCCTGCTGTCCTGGAAGGCCCTGGCTGTCACTCTTCAGGAAGTACATGTCTCTATTGCCTAGATCTTAGGTAACATCTTCCCTTCCTCCTCTGGGGACCTCCCGTGGGCCACACCTAGGGAAACCTTCTAAATGCAGGGTGTGCCCTCTGACTCTCTGGACCTTGGCTCCTGCTCTGAATGGAGCTTATCTAGAAAGCTGTAGTAGACAGCGGCTCACAGGACGTAGTAGATACCGAAGTCATCTGCAGGGAAAGACCGCTGAGAAGTCATCTTAATGGAACCACGTCAGACTTTCACTTCTATTCAGGAGCTAGGTCTAATCCTTTAAACTTCATTTCTCTGAGCCTGTTTGGCTCTTTCTGTTTTAAATGCTTCGTGTGCTCCACTCCCCTTTCAGCAGGTGCAAACTGATTTTCATATCTGCACTTTAGGCACCATTCCAACTTAGATTTTTCCATGAGTCATAATCCTCTCCATTCACCCTCAAGATTCTAACATGTTGCTATGAGCTACTGTTACTTGGCTGTTTGAAATGCTTTAAAAAGATTTGATTTCAGAGGCTAAACTGCACATACAACCTCTCTTCCCCCATCACTCACTTTCCCTTGTGTATAGCACATAGACTCAGTTCCCACGTAAACACTTTTCTCCCATGTTTCCTTTCACTTACCTGGGGGAACACTAGGAAACTGCATTTGCTTCCCTGTATTGCCTGCTTTTCAAGACACAAGACGAGTAAGCTAACCCAATAAACACAGAAAGACCCCAGCCTGTGCTCAGATTTTGAGATTCTGCTGGATGCACGGGGCCAAGAGTTGAAAAAGCACTTCACTTCTATTAAAAACTTTTTAATTAAAATTTAAAACGGGTACATTACTTTAAAAATCCAACAAGACAGAAGCACATAGAGTAAAAATGAAGTCCTTTCCTTAACCTTTCTATCCAACCCTGTTCTCTCCAGAGACCAGATCTCCATCCCTTCTCTTTCCCATCCTCCACAGAGAAAATCACGGTCTTTAACTGCTAAACATCATTGTCTGGCAGTTATTACTTATGCATGTTGTCACAAACAAAATCTTTAAAATTTTTCCATGAATAAAGATTTCTTGGTTTTGACGATGTCCCATGTTTATGTAAGATCTATCATGGAGGAAGTGAGGTTAAGGGCACATGGTAGCTCTTGGTTGTTTTTGCAACTTCTGGTGAGTCAAACTATTTCAAAATAAAAGGTATCAAAGATTTACATACAGGTCACCAGGGTATATATAACTTGTTTTATTACACTCAGTATTGTATTTGAGTTTTATGTCTGTTAGCTCTAGTTAATTTTTACTTCTGTATAGTAATTTCCCTCCCTCCCCTGTTAAGGCAAAGTCAGGCAGGTTCCACTTGTGCACTAATGTAAGCAAGCCTTCGATAGCGCATCCTCACACCTGTCTCCCTGGCACGTGTGCAGCATTTCTCTAGAATAATAATGTTAATGCTAACACTCCGAGTGTCTACAATGTGTCAGGTACTATTCCAAGTACTTAAATGTTTCACCCACTTAACTGAAACAAATTCTTCCTTTCTTCAGGGTTCAATTTCCTTCTTCCAGAAGACATTCTTTCAGACATAAATTTTCTCTTTGTCTGAAAAAGTTTTTATGTTGTCCTCAAGTAGAATGATAGCCTAGCTGGATTTGGCATTCTACAAATTTTCTCTCTCAGTCATTTGAAAATACTCCATTGTCATATGCATGTGGGTGGAAGAAGGATTGACTGTTAATGAGCGTGTGTGTGTGTGTGTGTGTGTGTGTGTGTGGAGAGGAGAATATCAGGGGAAAAAAGATATTACAACAATTAATAATATATTTCCCAACAATAATTTCAAACTTAGAGAAAAGTAAAAATAGTACAGGAACGTTTTTCCCCTGAACAATCTGAGAGTACATTGCCAAAATGCAGAATACATGTATATGTTTCTGACAAACAGGCACTCTCCTACATAAATATAACCATCAAAATCAGGAAAATAACACATCAAAGCATTACCACCGATAGATCCCATTCAAGTTTTGCAAATTGTTCCAGTATCGTGTCCTTTATAGCAAAAGTATCCCACACTGCATTTAGTTATCATGTCTCTTTAAACTCCTTCAACCTAGAAAAGTTCTTATGTATTTTCTTGACTTTTCATGAACTTGACACTTTTGAAGATGGTTGTTGTTGTTAGGTGCCGTCTACTCAGTTCTGACTCATAGCGACCCTATGTACAACAGAACGAAACACTGCCTGGTCCTGTGCCATCCTCACAATCATTGTTATACTTGAGCCCATTGTTGCAGCCACTCTATCAATCCATCTCATTGAGGGTCTTCCTCTTTTTCACTGGCCCTCTACTTTACCAAGCATGATGTCCTTCTCCAGGGACTGATCCCTCCTGATAATGTGTCCAAAGCATATGAGACGAAGTCTTGCCAACCTTGCTCCCTCTTCTGGAAGTCCATGGTGTACTCAATATTCTTCATCAACACCATAATTCAAAGGCATTGATTCTTCTTTGGTCTTCCTTATTCATTGTCTAGCTTTCATGTGCATATAAGGCAATTGAAAACACCACGGCTTGGGTGAGGCACACCTTAGTCCTCAAGGTGACATCTTTGCTTTTTAAAGAAGTCTTTTGCAACAGATTTACCTAAAGCAATGTGTTGTTTGATTTCTTGACTGTTGCTTCCATGAGCATTGATTGTGGATTCAAGTAAAATGAAATCCTTGACGACTTCAGTCTTTTCTCTGTTTATCATGAAGGTGCTTAATGGTCTAGTTGTGAGGATTTCTGTTTTCTTTATATTGAGGTGTAATCCATACTTAAGGCTGTGGTCTTTGATCTTCATCAATAAATGCTTGAAGTCCTCTTCACTTTCAGCAAGCAAGGTTGTGTCGTCTGCATATCGCAGGTTGTTAATGAGTCTTCCTCCAATCCTGATGCTGTGTTCTTCTTCATATAGTCTAGCTTCTCAGAGTATTTGCTCAGCATACAGACTGAATAAGTACAGTGAAAGGATACAAATTTGATGCACACCTTTCCTGACTTTAAACCACACAGTATCCCCTTTTTCTGTTCGAATGACCGCTTCTTGGTGTAAGTACAGTTTCTTCATGAGCACAATTAAGCGTTCTGGAATTTCCATTCTTCACAATGTTATCGATAATTTGTTATGATCCACACAGTTGAATGCCTTTGCATAGTCAATAAAACACAGGTAAACATCTTTCTGGTATTCTCTGCATTCAGCCATGATCCATCTGACATCAGCAATAATATCCCTTGTTCCATATCCTCTTCTGAATCTGGCTTGAATTTCTGTCAGTTACCTGTTGATGTACTCCTGCAACGGCTTTTGAATGATCTTCAGCAAAATTTTACTTGTATGTGATATTAACAATATTGTTCAATAATTTCCACATTCTGTTGGATCACCTTTCTTTGGAATGTACAAATATAGATCTCTTCCAGTTGGTTGGCCAGGTAGCTGTTTTCCAAATTTCTTGGCAAAGACAAGTTGGTGCTTCCAGCGCTGCATCCATTTGTTGAAACATCTCAATTGGTATTCCGTCAACTCCTGGAGCCTTGTTATTTGCCTATGCCTTCAGTGCAGCTTGGACCTCTTTCTTCAGTACCATTGGTTCTTGATCATATGCTACCTCCTGAAATAGTTGAATGTTGACCAACTCTTTGGTACAGTGACTTTGTGTATTCCTTCTATCTTCTTTTGATGCTTCCTGTGTTGTTCAGTATTTTCCCCGTAGAATCCTTCAGTATTCCAACTCGAGGCTTGAATTTTTTCTTTAGTTCTTTCAGCTTGACAAACACTTAGCATGTTCTTCCCTTTTTGTTTTCTATCTCCAGGTCTTTGCACATTTCATTATAATACTTTACTTTGTCTTCTTGAACTGCCCTTTGAAATCTTCTGTTCAGTTCTTTTACTTCATCATTTCTTCTGTTCACTCTAGCTACTCTATGTTCAAGAGCAGCTTTCAGAGTCACTTCTGATATCTATTTTGGTCTTTTCTTTCTTTTCTGTCTTTTTAATGACCTTTTGCTTTCTTCATGTATGATGTCCTTGAGTCATTCCACAACTCATCTGGTCTTCAGTCATTAGTGTTCAATGGGTCAAATCTATTCTTAAGATGATGGTCTCTAAATTCAGGTGGGATATACTCAAGGTCAAGTAACATCATGATATACGGGAAAAAGACAGAAGTTGTCAAGGATTTCATTTTACTTGGATCCAAAATCAATACCCATGGAAGCAGCAGTCAAGAAATCAAAGGAAGTATTCCACTGAGCAAATCTGCTGCAAAAGACCTCTTTAAAGTGTTAAAAAGCAGAGATGTCACCTTGACTACTAAGGTGCACCTGACCCAAGCTATGGTGTTTTCAGTTGCCTCATATGCATGTGAAAGCTGGACAATGAATAAGTGAGACGGAAGAATTGATGCCTTTAAATTATGGTGTTGGTGAAGAATATTGAATATACCATGGACTTCCAGAAGAATGACCAAATCTGTCTTGGAAGTACAGCCAGAATGCTTCTTAGAAGCAAGGATGGCGAGACTTCATCTCATATACTTTGGACATGTTATCAGGAGGGATCAGTCCCTGGAGAAGGACATCCTGCTTGGTAGAGGGTCAGTGAAAAAGAGGAAGACCCTCAACGAGATGGATTGACACAGTGGCTGCAACAATGGGCTCAAGCATAACGATTGTGAGAATGGCACAGGACCTGTTATACATAGGGCCGCTATGACTCGGAACTGACTCGATGGCACCTGACAACAACAACATACTCAAGGTTGCACTTTGGCTCTTGTGGACCTATTCTAATTTTCTTGAACTTAAACTTGTATATGAGCAATTTATGGTCTGTTCCACAGTCAGCCCCTGGCTTTTTTTTGTCTGACTGATACTGAGCTTTTCCATTGTCTCTTTCCACAGGTGTAGTTGATTACTGTGTATTCCACCTGGCGAGGTCCATGTGTATAGTCACCATTTATGTTGGTGAAAAAAAGTATTTGCAAAATTCTATCATGGGATATCTGGCATCATTTCTATCACCAAGGCCATATTTTCCAAATACCAATTCTTCTTCGTTTCCAACTTTCCCATTCCAGTTGCCAGTAATTATCAATGCATCTTGATTGCATGTTTGATCAATTTCAGACAGCAGAAGTTGGTAAAAATATTCACTTCTTCACCTTTGGCCTTAGTGGTTGGTGCACAATTTGAATAATGGTCGTATCACTGGTCTTCCTTGTAGACGTATGGCTATTATCCTATCACTGACAGCTTTGTATTTCAGGAGAGAACTTGAAATGTTCTTTTAGAAAATGAATGAGACGTCATTCCTCTTCAATTTTTCATTCTCAGCATAGAAGACCTTATGTTTGTCTGATTCAGAATGGCCAATATCAGTCTATTTCAGCTCACGAATGCCTAGGATATCAATGTTTATGAATTCCATTTCATTTTTGACAACTTCCAATTTTCCTAGAGTCATACTTCATACATTTCATGTTCCTGTTATTAACGGATGTTTGCAGTTGTTTCTTCTCATTTTGAGTCGTGCCACATCAGGAGATGAAGGTCCCAAAAGCTTGACTCCGTCCACGTCATTAAGGTTGACTCTGCTTTGAGGAGCAGCTATTCCCCAGTCGTATTTTGAGTGCCTTCTACCCTGAGGGGCTCATCTTCCAGCACGATATCAGACAGTGTTACGCGGGTATTCATAAATTTTTCACTGGCCTATTTTTTCAGCAGTATGCTGCCAGTCCTTCTTCCTAGTCTGTCTTAGTCTGGAGACTCCACTGAAACTTATCCACCATGGGTGACCCTGCTGGTATTTGAAATTCCAGTGGCAAAGCTTCCAGTATCACAGCAACACGCAAGCCACCACAGTACGACAAACTGACAGACACGTGGTGAAAATTACTGGCCAGTTATTTTGAGGAGTAACCCTCAACTTGGGTTTGTCTGATGCTTTCTTCTGATTAGATTCACGTATGCATTTTTTGTAAGACTATCACTGAAGTGATGTTAACCCTAAATCACTTGAATAAGGTAGGGTCTGCTACTTTCTCCACTGTAGTTTCTTTTCCCTTTTGTAATCAGTAAATACTTTGTAGGGAAGACTTTGAGACTATTCTGTTCCTCATCAAACTTTCTCCCACCAGTTTTAGCATTAATTGATGTTTCTTGGCTGAATTATCACTGTGGTAATTGCGAAATGGTGATTTTCTAATGCCATTATTCCAACTACATTCATCAGTTGGTATTCTCCTATAAAGATAAGTTCTCTCCTCATTTATACTTTGAATCAGTATGGACTCATGGCTTTCTATCTTATTCACTGGATTATAATGTTATAATTTTTGATGTTCTAATTGACCCCAAGCTAGCCAGCAGGCAGCCCTTCAAACTGTCTTCTGTATCCATTTGACTTGTCCCAGTATGAGCACGTCCTTACTTTTTGGCACAGTAAGATCTTCCAGGCTTATCTTCTACTTTCCCTGCCCCAGTCCTGAAATCAGCCATTTCTCTAAGAGCTCAGGTTTCTTTTAGTGAATGATATTTAGAAACCAAGATCTGGGAGCTAGGTGTACTCATGCTATTATAGTGTCACTGCTTCCAGTTACTTCCAATAGAAAGAGTGAGGGACTAGATGCATTTACATACATACATGCACACACATGTATTCCCATGTATATCTCTATATTATATTTTGAGAACCGTGACCATCACCAACAATTCAAATCTCAAATCAACATTTCAATTTGATATCAAGGGTTATCTATACTTAAAATTACTTTTCAATCAATATCAAGAATGCGTACCTATAATTTTCCACAAATGGAAACTTAGTACACTTTTACTACCACCTTCCCCTAGTTCTCTTTTCATATTTTTAACTGATAATTTTTATTCCAGATTACTTTTTTCAAAAAACAGTATACCATGTACAATTATTTGCCAGCTAGTATTTAAATGTGTATTTCACTGAACCTTCACTCACCTCTGTATTTTTTACCTCATGTCTTCTAGATTATTTTGCTTGAGAATATTCTTAACATTTTTCAAGAAAATGCATGGGTGGTGAACTTTCTGAAAATGCCATCACATGACTGGGTTCAAACTCCTTCTCCCTCTTTCCTTTGACACTATTGCTTTGATGCCTCCTTGATCCTATATGACAGGTGAAAAGTCTGAGGTCAATCTGATTTTCTTCCTTTGTAAA